CATACTTGCTTTATTCTTCATAAGTGCTTTGCACCATATAAGGAAATTTATAAAGACCTTTTAACTAGAAGCAAGCAATCTAAAATTACATACATTTTGCAAAAGGTAAAGCATGGATCTGAAGATAATACAGAAAAATGCTCAGAGGATAAGGATAACTTGCCAAAAAGAAAACGCTCTCGGTTAATTAATAGTGTTTTTAGTGATGACAAAGAAAACATTGCTTAATTTATTATATTAATATGCATCACTTAATTTTTATGAAGATATTTATCTTAATTATGAAAATATACTAGCATGTTTTTTAATTTTTGGAACCTAACCCTCCTTTTCGTATTAGTTCTTTGTTTCATATAACACGGATTCACATAACACGGCAATTTTTTGGAACGTAACTACCGTGTTATAGGGGGGTTACCTGTATAGGGACATACATGTCCATATATATATATATAGATAATATAACTAAAACAACAATTTATCAAATTAGATAGTTCATAGATTCCTTTTTTAAATTTTAGTACAAAGAAATTTATGAAATAAGTTTTTTAGAATGAATGACTATTTCAAAAGAAATAAGAATTTAAAAATAAATTTAAATAATAAAAAGAATTGATATAGAAGAAATGACTTAAATTTTGAATTCCTCTTGATTTTGTAAAAAAAATTCACTTACTTTATTTTAAATTTTATTAAATAAACTTATACTATTTAATATGTAAATCACTTAACTTTTCAATGTTCAGAAAATTACTAAAAATACAAATAGTTTTAAGTGATACAATATTTTTATTTTAAATGTAAGAAGGCTTTTTACAAAACAAATGTTTTTGTTATAAAATTTTTATTTATCACAAGTGGTAATTAATTAATACACAAAACAATTATATGATTGTAAAGGTGTAAAGTACACTTTTTCTGTTGGAAGCAGAATTTTATTTATAAAAATTAAGCTGTTTGAAATATTTAAATGATAAATTTTAATGCCATCTGCACAAAAACGTGTTCTATATTAGGAGAAAGTTTGAAAGTATATTTCACCATTAAGAGTTAAAAAGTTAGTTTTACAGTAAAAAAATCTTCTAGATTTAGAGAAAAAATTTATCTTAGATTTCTTCAGAATATAATTTCTCTTAAATTTCGAAAATATTTTGGAAAATCTGTCAAAAATTGATAAACAACTTTATGTTCAAATGAAATGAACGATCCTTTAAATCTTGCATAGCAATAATGAGAATTATTTCTAAAAAATGAAATGTATACAAATTCATTTTATGATAAAACAGAAAAAATAGAATTAAAACATTATTGGAAAATCATAAAATTATTGCAGGATTTTTGGTAACATTAATTATTTTGTTACAAAAATGATTAAAGATGGATCTTTATTTTCATATTAAAAAAAAGTATTTAATTTTTATAAGAAATTAAAAGATAAATTTAAATTTTTAAATACTGTAAACTTAGATGATTGTGTACATTGTTAGATTCTATTGTGCACTTAGTTTTAAATACTTTGTCATAAATTTAATAAATTTAATAAATATTTACTATAATACAGTGGAACGTCGATTTTCCGAATCAATTGGGGACTGGGGTTGTCCGGATAACTGATATTTCGGATAACTGGTTTACGTATGAAAAAATAGTTTAACGTATCCGATGTCGAAATTTTTCTCTGTTGCGTGTTGCTTTGCGTTGAATTTTCGTCGATGTTAAGCCTAACAAAGACTATTGTATCGTTAAAAATTATTTCTTTATTTTGTACAAACAAAAATAAATATATTGAAAAATATAAAAATAATAAAAAATTATACTTCAGATGTTAATTTAGTATTAAAAACGTAAAATATTTGAGTAGCCCAAGACATAGCCAAAGATTGCTATGCCACAGCACTGGCGAAAATTTAAATTTGCCAACTGGAATTCTTTCGGATGATTGACTTTCGGAAAATCAACGCTCTACTGTAATAATAATTGAATTCTTTCTTTTATATAAATATTTTACTCTCAGATATAATCATACTGTCTTCATTATATATACTCTTTTAAATTATTAAGTAAAGTTTTTCATTGTATAAAATCTTTAATATGTTGGTTGCCCAAAAAAATTTTGTTTTTAATTTGTTTTAACATGATTTTGTCATATGGTTGCCAGCAACTAGTGAACTTTATTTACTACAAAAATAGTAGTTTTATTCTTTTTGTCTTTTATGTATTTGTTGTTTAGTCTAAACCAGGGGTGACCAACCTTTTTGTTTCTCTGGGCCGCATTGGAAGAAGTCAAGGCGTTTTGAGCTACAAGTACATATAATATATACTTGTGGCCCAATATAGAAGTATATTTAAGGATTAACATATCTAGTGTATAATAATAAGTATTAAATCTTTATCACGAAAAAGGATATTTTAGAAAATTACTTCTACAGACACCTGCAATTTTTACTTAGAAATAGATAAATTCATTTATTATAAAAGAGACAAACGGAAATTTATTTGAAAAACACAAATATTTGTTTTATTTGGGTCTCTAATTAATAAAAAGTGACGAAACACCATTTTAAAGTGCATTTTCATTCAACTAATACAGTATATTTATAAATAAAATGTAACCCAAGAAGTAGCCAATGCACCAAATGATAATTTCTACGTCAAACAAAAAAAGTAGCCACATTTGGCGCAATGTAGCCAAATCTTGCAACGTTGGAAGAAATACTATTACTAAATAAAGCTGGAGTTGTAACTCAAAGGATTATAGACCCAAATGCAGGGAAAGGAGAGAAAGGAGAAAAGATAAAGAAGTGGAAAATTAAGGGTCAATATTTGCATAACAGAAGATCTATTTAATTTTTCTCACTATTTTTATGTTTTGTCTTTTCTGTCCTTTTCCCAAATTTGGGTCTACAATTCTTTGAGTCACAACTCCAGCTTTATTTAGTAATACTTCCTCATTCACATATCTCCAAGTATTTGAAAATATTTCTTTTCCACTCAAAAATAAAATATGAATAAAGGTTTACGACTTTGTGAAACTTCTTTATTGAGTTTATGCCATTGAAATAAATAAATAAATTAATTAATTAAAACATTTGTTGGTTTTGTTTACACGTTTATTGGGCTGCATGCCACGGGTTGGACACCCCTGGTCTAAACATTCTCTGAATTTTTTATTCATATATTTGCACTTCACTTTTTTCACATGTGACGATAAAAAACTCATTAGTATTGAAACTTTTTAGCAAGTTTTGTTATAGTGATAATTAGACTTGAGCATATTTTGTTTTTTGATTATCAAACATAATTATATTAAAACTTTTTTACTACTTAGAGGTGATACATAAGTAAACTCCTTTTATTTAGCTATCATTTGGCAACAAACTGATATATAGAAAAAAATAAATCATTACATGGAGTGATGCAAGACTGAATGATATATAATAAAAAAATCTTCATCTGTCAAAAGATATCAGAACAGGGGTGAAATAAAATTTAGTATAGGTTTATATGCAAAGAATAAAATTTATGATAGGTAAATCTTTAAAGTGATTTTCTTCATTTGCAATACATTATCTTAAACTAGCCACAAAAAATCTCAAACAGATCAAGGTTTTGATTTATGGCAATAATTTCAACTTGAAAAGCATAACTTTTATACAATCTTGTCAGAATGGAACTTGATATTTTGCAAGATCTGTTCCAAATTTCTTTTGGATATGCCTAGAATATGAGATTTCTACTTAGCTGAATGACATGGATTATTCCCAAAAAGATTCCTTGACTATCCAAATATTTTTTAGTATGCACAGTTCTTGGAATGTTGTACATTATATCTTTTATTACAACTATCTTCAAATTTACAGATGATTTAATTTGTCTATATTGCAAAAGTATTTTTTAAGCATAAGAAATGAGTACAAGATGCAATTTGAAGATGAAAATATTTAATACATTCCACAAAAACTACATACTTTTGTTTATTTCTCGACATACTTGTCGTAAACGTTGAGATATTTATTCCATTGTGACACTACTTTAAACATTGAATTAAAGAATCCAGTTATAATGGACGTTATAAAATTAGCCTGAAGAAGAGCCCAGGAGGGGAATCGAAAACGTTCACTGACTTTTTGAAGAATTTCACACCGGTTATTGGTTAATTGTAGATCGTTGTGTATTTGGAATATATACAACCCGGTGTGGTGAGAAAGTACATTGTGTCACAATGGAATAAATGTCTCAATGTTTATGGTGAGTATATCGAGAAATAAACAAAAGTATGTAGTTTTTGTGGAATGTATTAAATATTTTCTTTAATTATAAATGTTAGTGTAATTTTGATCTGTATCTTTAATATTGGACTCCCCTCATACATATATTATTAGCTATTCTTATGCTATTTTGTTCAATATTTAATCAAATAGCAATATTTTAATATATAAGCTTTTTTTTAAATGTAATAATATATTCTTATGTAATGTGTATTTTTTAAATAGGTATGGCGGTATTTGGAAAAATTAAAAATGTATAGAAGCAATATGTAGTGCTAATGCTAGCCTCATCTAGCAGGGTTTAAAAATGCAACATAATGGAATTATAGATAAGAAGGAGAAATAGATATGGCAGAATATCATCTGCTTGGAGGTGGTTTTGGTGTGAGTGGAAATGAAATGGAAGATTCAACAGGAATGGTTGGAAGTGGAGGTTATGGGCATAATATGGCAGAACCTGGTATTGGAACTGAAATGTTACCATCAAATATACCTGCTGGACCTTCACAGAACTCTAATCCAATGATATCTGGAATGATGCCACATCAACAGTCTCCAGCAGAATCTCAGGTAGAACATGGAGGTATGAGCAATTATCATCAATCAGGACCAGTACATGGTTATCAGCAAAATGAAGTGCCTCAGAAATTACATCACTATAATGTTTACAATGGTCCAGCCACACAAAGTGGTCAATATGTTTCAGGTCCAAGATTCACACATTTAGGTGATGCATCACATCCCTCTTCAGGTGTTAGACAACAGCCACCACAAGCTGTGCCTCCATCTCAAATGCAGATGTATCAACATCAAGGTATGGGAGGAAGCCATTATGGACAAAGACCACAGCAACCAAATCCAGTCTCCGTACATCCTCCTCAAAATTCTGCACAGTATCCAGGACAATATGGTTCAGTACCTCATTCTCAATATCAGCATCATCAACAGCATCCAATCCAGCATGTAAATCAATCTAATGAAATGTGGCAAAATGCTTATGGACATCAACAACATACTCGTCTCAGTTTATCTCAAGGACAAACATATTCTCATCAACAGCCACCTACTCAAAATCATGGAGCAAATCCTGTTCAACATGGAGGTATGCCTTTACAAGGATCACGACCTATTGCTCCAACACAGAACCAATACATGCCTGGACAAGATTTTCAAATGGCACATTCTCCTGTACAAACACCATCAATGCAACGACCACCAGTTTATCGAATGGCAGCCTCTCAATCTAATCAAAATGGATCACATATTACTCAAACAACTGGAACACCATCTGGAGGAACTCAGTTTCCTCATGTTCCAATGTCTCAATCAGATCAGTCTGTACCACCATATTCTCAGGGACCGTATGCCCCAACTTCTCAGCCCGTGGCAAGAGCCCATTTTAGTGGCACAAATGCAAGTGGAACAATTTCACATCAAACATCTGGTCAGATGTCTTCTACTGGTGTACCTAGACCTATGCAGCAGATGGGTTATCCATGTGCCTCTCCAAGGATAAACTCGGGTCAGCAACATGGTGGATCATTGCCTCCAAATAGTCCAGCTCAGTATCCGATGTCATATTCTCCTAATCAGACATTTACAAATACTGCCCAGTCTGCTCCACATGTCAGTGGATCTTCAAATCCAACTCAGTTATCAACATATGCCAGTCCTCAACATGTACCGCAGGCACCTACCAGCCCTCAATACAGAGGGCATTTTCCACCACATATAAATCAGTCACCACGACAACCTACTCCTACTCCACCTTCAGGATCTCCTATGCCCCCAGCTTCTCATACTCCTGAAAGAATGGTTCATCCTCCAACAACATCAACACCCCAATCTCAGGGAAGTTATCCTAGCCCTAGTACAAGTCATATGTCTAGCCCTGGACAGGGTCCTTCACCTGGTACACCGTCCAATAGCTTGCAGCATTTGGAACAAATGGTGATGCCAAGAATGACAACTGGATCAACTACTCCATCAGCTGCTCCTCCAAATATTGGTGCATCTTCAAACTCTGTAATGGTACAATCGCCAGTTAGTAATAATTATTATACTCATCTATCACAGCCTCAGCCACATCATTCTACAGCACCACCAGTGGAATCATATTCTCAACCGCAAAGTCCGGCATTTTCTCACATGTCACCACAGCCAAGACCAATGCATCAATATCTTGGACAGACACCTATGCCTTCTGAACAACAATCCCCTATGATAAGTCACAATGTTGGTACAGGACCAAATGTGCCAAATTCTCAAACATTACATCCATCCACAACAAGTGGACCTTTGCCAAGAACAAACAATAATTCTGGTGTTGATGATAGAATGACAACAGGCCATTTCACTCCTTCTAATATTAATTATAATAATTCTAATAATGGATCATTTATTCAACCAGTTATGGGTCCAGAAACTGATATGCAACACCCACATACTGTTTCAAGTCCTGTACCTAGCCATATAACTCCTGTTCCACCAAACTCTTCTCTTCCTTACCATTCAAATCAATCGTTTCCTTCTGGAAATTCATTTGAAATACAGCAGATTCAGCAAGAATTGCAACAGTTATATGGCATGCATCAAAGTCCTGAAACCCAACAAAAGGTAAGAATTATACAAATTCATTTAATTTTTTATCTCTTAAGTAGCATCATTGAAATCAACTGTTTTAACAAAATTATTAGTTATAAAAAGAAATTAATTTTGAGGTTTAAACAATTCCGAAAAAATGAACAATTACACTTTTAATATTATTTTATTAAGAACACAACAACAATAATATACAAAATTCTTTATTAGAATAAAAACAAAGAAAATCTTTCATGGGAAAAAAAATTTATATGTGAATTATACCGTTAGTATTTATTTAATTTTCTAGAATTGTTTTAATATAGCTGGTTATCATTTAAGAAAATTATGCAACTGGATTATTAAAATTTTATATTAACTTTACTGGTAGTTTTCACTAAACTTTAATTTTGCTACTGATAACTGTCTTTTCTGTAATGCTCATTCCTTTAATGACTGAAAAAAAATGTTTACTCTAATACATTTGTTTTCATATCATTTATGTAATTATAATGTATATTTAATGATCTGTATTATTTTTTAGAGTTTTATTTATTTGACTTTTCATTGGCAACATATTCAAGCAAGAAAATGAATTCAGAAAATAATTTTGTTATCATTTATATAAAAGTAAATTATATTTTGCAACATATTTGATAGTAAACTGCAGCCGTATTTATTAGCAAATTGAAATGTTTTCGGTTATCTTTAATGATTTTTATCAAGAACAAATGAAATTGAATGCTGACAGATTTGTATTAACGATTAAAAAAAAACAAAACACATTTATTGTTAATACAAATCTGTCAGCATTTGATTTTGTTTGTTCTTGATAAAGGTCATTAAAGATGACCAAAAACGTTTGAATTTGCTAATTAATATGGCTGCAGTTTATAAGGTTTTTGAGTAGTGGATCTTTGGTATGAAATGCAGTCTACAAAGAGATATTTGATAGTATTTTAAGTTTTATTACTCATTGTATAAGCTCTACAAAATCAATGATACCATCATTATTAAATCTAGAAGAAACTGCTTAATTAATATTTTTGGGTTCACAGAAATTTCACAAAAGTTTCTTATTCATCAAAGATAGGACAAAAGTTTGTCTGGAAAGCATATATGGGAAAACTGGAAAAATGTTCTGAAATGATATTTGGTAATCTTATCCAAACTAATATAGAATGAGAGTTCTACATTACTTTGGATATTCTGTCTTTGTACATATTATATACAAGTATGCATTTTTTGTTATAAAAACTGATGGCCTGAAGTAAAAGTATTCTGGCTTCACTCAGATGGACACACTATGTGGCACAACTGCCACCTAGTGTGTCCATTTGAGTGAAGAAAAAAAATGGCATCCATACTGTGAGTTCATCTACAGCTGAAGAGTAGAGGAGTGTGATTCATTTTCTGTGGGTGCTGGTAAGAAACTAATGCTGAAAGGGCTAAACACACTCACTTTATCACTTGTGGAAAGTTTGCAAACTGTCTTTAACATGCTCATGAAAGTGGCCAAACTCCTTAACATACTCAAAGTGCTCCAACTTTAACTTTAATTGAATCAGTGAGTGGAAAAACAGTACAACTCCAAAATTGTCAGTTTTTAATTGAGATAGCCATTTAAACATGGGCCTTCCTGATGAGTTGAACAGAAGTATAACTAACACACTATGTATGCATTTATGAGGCTACCTGCTATGTTATTGGATGGAAGAACGTTATAACTCCAGGAGTTATAACGTTCTTCCACCCAATATCATATGTTCTCCTTCTTGCCACTACAGGTCGACATGCGCAGACATATCTGTAAACCTGCAATCTCATTGGAAGTTATCAGTGTTGTTTGTTCAGTTGAAAGAAGCAACGGCAATTACTCTCAAGACGTTTACCTGTATAATAATCAAATACCTACATAATGTCCAGTAGTGAGTGTTCAGATGATAGTGCAGATAAAGAAAGAGATGAAAATAAACACAAACGTAAAACGCAAACATTCCACGCTTCAGGACACCTGAAGCATGGAAAACTGCAAGAAAGCAAGCTTGTCTTCATGGAGAACAGTACGTCACTGAAAGGGGAAAAGTGGTAGAGAAGAAAGCTACTGGGCCAGATTGCACATAAGTTTTTTCTTTATATCATTAAATGATATAAAATGTTAACAAAGAAAATTAACAAGTGAAATGTGTATTGCTTTCCTTTTTATGTAGTTGCAAGAAGTGCATGTCCAATATAAGTCAAGCAGAAAAGGCATCCATTTTGACTTATTTGTATCAAGGAGGTTTTAAAGATCAGCAAGATACATATTTGATTGGCCTAATGGAATGCCTCAAAGTAGTTAGATGTCATCCAAAAGGAGAAACCAAGCAAAAAAATAGGACCACAACGATTTTGTATTTTATACGAAATGGCTCAGAGAGACTTTCCGTTTGTAAAACTGCTTTTTTGAATATACATTCAATAACTAATTCACATCTTCAGCGACTGAATCAATTATTGATTTCTGGACAGAATCCTAAAGATTTACGTGGCAAGCATAACAATAGGCCACATGTATTGTTGCCTGACATAATTGCCAAAATAAAAAATCACATAGTCATTTCCCACAAAGGTTTCTCATTATAGTTCTAAAGAAGTATACTACCTTGATGCCTCTCTTGATGTGAAGATACCTGTTCACGAAGAAGTATGCAGAAGATAGGGAGAAAGTTAAGTATGAATTCTACTTGAAGTTTTTCAAAGAAAATTTTGCTTTGAGGTTCAGCAGGCCGCAGGTTGATGTTTGTGGTGAATGTGAACAACTCAGTACGAAACTAAAAGATCACAGTCTCAATGATAATGCAAAGTGAGTTGCTGCAGCAGAAATGGGGGTACACAAACGAAGAGGTAATAAGTTTTATGCCAAACTCAAGGAAATTAAAGCTTTATGCCAGGAACAAGATGATGTCGGTGCTATAGTTTTTGATTACATTCAGAATATGCCACTTCTGGTGATAACTGTTCAGGAAATGTTTTACTACCAACAGTTATGGCTGTACAGATTCGAGATTCATGACTTGAAAAATAATACTGGACATTTCTACACATATCATGAAGGACAAACTTTGAAAGGACCAAATGAAGTTTGTAGCTTTATTTATGATTACATCAAGAAAATACCTCCTGAGATACAGGAACTTCATATTTTTTCGGATGGTTGTCTGGGGCAGAATTGTAATCATACAATTTTGAGATTTCTCTTACATCTTTACAAAGCAAGCTTTTTTGCACAATTTTTCAGTATTTCCCTGTTCGTGGACACTCCTTCCTACCATGTGACAGAGCCTTTGGAAATGTCAAACAAGTCATAAGAAGACATGATTGAATTTATCTACCAGAAGATTATCAGCACATGATTGCAAGCAGTCACAAATTAAAGCCATTTACAGTATCAGTAATCAAATACAATGAAAACTGCTTAGGCGACCACCTGCATTCGATGGGCACCTGTCAAAACGGGCAAAATTTTCTGGCATGGAATAGTTTATCCCTAGAGTCTTCATATAAGTTACCTGTATTAAACGACCACCTGTGTAACGCGACCGCGGGCATCGATTTTTGGTCCAAAACAACATACAACACCTGTAATAAGCGACCACTTTCGCGAATGTATCTGGTCTAAACTATTGTAAGAACCCATCTCAACAACGTTTTCCCTCCTAATATAATAAATTAGTGTAAACGCTCGTTCGAACCCATCCCAGGCACTTCTCCCACCCTTGAAATTAGGTGCAGGTGTTAATAAATTAGTCTAGCAACAAAGGAAATTCATTTCAGTTTGTTGGAAAATGTCCGAAAAATGAAAGAAATGTGCTGTTATTAGAAGATCGTATTAAAATTATCACAACAGCAATTAGCGGCGAAGTTTAACTATGGGAAAACGAAATTGATTTTACCGTAGACCTACAGTATTTTCCTTGGGGGTGTAAAATAGTGTACACGATACAATTAATCGGCTGATCTCATCGTTTGATAAAATCTATTTTTATTTATTTATTTTGAAGCTCATATATAGTACATGCGTGATAAATAGTTTCTGTATAAACCTATCTTATTTCCACGATACTTTTAGAAAAATAATATCCAAGTAATTTTTGCAGGCAAAATATTCAAAAACAATAAACGCATTAATGCAAAAATCAGTTTTACTTCCTTTTTCGATTCCGCGACTGTAATGAAATCGTACANAATCGTTTTATTATTAATAATTTTTCTTATTGTACTTAATTAATTAAGAAAATATCAAATATTAAAAAATACAGTATTTTTAAAGTTAAAATATGATTAAACTAACGAAAACCAAAAGCAAAGTGATGGAGAGATAGGATGCGCTTGTATATTGATGACGTAATACACGTAACTGAGGAGAGAACGAAAAGAACCGAGTCAAATTAATTAAGTGGGAAAAAAATAAAGTGTGCATTATAATCGAGAAAATGCGAGTATTGTATTAATCTTTAAAATAAATACCAACAAAGCCCTGTCATTGAAAAAATTCGCTTATTTTTGCTCACCTTGAATTTTGCTTAGTAGAAATGGCTAAAAAGTGCGCAAAATACGTATGGAAATACGTTATTACAGGACCACCTGTATTGGACGACCACCTGTCTAAAAGACCACTTTTTGAAGGAACCGTGGGTGGTCGCCATAGACAGGTTTTACTGTATACAGATGTAACTGACTTCAAAAGCTGGTGGCCATACTATTATAAAAAACCTGCAAATCATATGTTCAGGGAAATAATGAAACCTTCTCAGTTTCAACCTACAATCAGTTAATCTATGACAGTTCTACACCAGGTTATATTTCTACTAGTCGTTTTATCAGAGGACTACATACAAACACTTTTAAACTGCTCAAACCTCACGTCACTCCAACTTTTCCAAATGAACCAGCCTACAAGAAACCATTACCAATCAATGCAAAGAAGATCAATGATATAAAAAAAGTCTGGAAGCATGAGTGGCGAAATCTTGGAGTTTTACTATCATATTTTGTCTTGGGAGACAAGCAATGAAGATCAGCAGGAATCATAATATAATCATTACAGTTCTAGGCCATCATATTATGTAAAAAATCAATAATAAAGGCATTCTTATTAAAATGAATTAATTTTTTATGTTTAACAAATATTGAGTGGTAAAAATGGTATAACTCCAAGTTTTGTTTTTGACTGTACAGCTTCTCAGGATGCACTTAATGAAACTTGCTTGGCAAGGTCTTGTAGAGGGAGTCATTCCTTACAACTTCTCTGTTTACATGATTGTTGTAAAATGTACACTTTTTACCTAAAACACATTTTTGTGTTTATCTCAAAACAAGGATTTTGGAGTTATACTGTTTTTCCATTCATCGATTCAATTATATTTTAAACTGCACTTTTTTACTGCCACTCATTCAAATGCACAGATATAAATTACGTTTTCTGTGTAGGCATTGAGTTGCTATTGTTGATAGTAAAGAGATGCTATTAACATCTGTTGTGACTTTTATACTTATGGGAATGACCAGGAACTCTCCCATGCATCATAAAACTCCATTGGAAGAACAAAGGAAAATACTGAGGCTAGAATACCAGGAGGAGTCCAAATTTATTTAAGATAAAATGGTTTTTAAGCCAAACTGCCCCATCTTCAGAACTAATGTTTGAAAATAGAATGTTGAAATAACATTCAAAAACCTTGAGTTAGTAGAATACTGGAATTAAAAAGCTTAAAACTTTGAACAGATAAGAAAATCAAACATATCAGTAAATAAAAATGTATAAACATAATTACGTTTATGTAAATATATTACATTAACAATAATTTTACAAAAAGCTATCCATATGGTATAGAACTCTCTGAATTTGAAGTTTGTGAAATATGACATTTGCAGGTGCTGGTATGTTGCTATTTTAGATAGCTGCAAAACTGCTTTCAACAAGTCATTCAGTACAAACACTAACTCTGGATGAAAATGAATCTTGTCTATAAGAGATGTTAGAATAATTGTTCTGTCTTACAATCTCTCAGAAACTCTGTATTCAATATAATTTAACATCTCCATACCAGTTTCTTGTGTGCTGTGTAATTTCGACTGTTAAATATCTAAAATTAAAGATACTAATACAACATCTTGAAGAAGTGTGCATGAAAGCTGTAGAAGATTGGATGACAGATATTGTATGGGAAGTTTTATATTTTTTGACAAGAAATGTTTAAATTCGGTATCTACTACTAGTATGCTCTGAGATCATAGCGTCAGATCCAAATAAATCAGCAGCCACAAGGTGATTTGCTCGTGGCTTGGGAAGGTTTATCTGCTGCTGGTAACAGATTTGATGGTTATACCAAAAACAATGGACCTTGAAATGTACATAGACATTTTGGATATGCAATTAGCAGCATATTTCTGGGCCAGTAATATGATGTTAAATAGTAGAGTAAACTGTATATTTCAGCAGGATAATGCCACTTCTCATACATCCAGGACAAAACAATGGTTAAACACTCATGGAATCAGTGTTTTAATGGCAGCACAATTTCTTAATGTAAATATAATATAAAACAGCTGGAGTTATGATGTGACATACTTATAATCCCAGGAGATGGCTCTCATAAATTACTGAACTTAGAGGCAATATATGCTGCATGGGATTCAATTATATCAGATTACATTCTTAAGCTAATTAAAAAGTATGTCAAAATGCATTAAAACAACTACAGTCGATCCCCCTATAAGATCATTGATTTTTCCGTTTTATCTGAATTACATGTTGTACGAGTCACTTAGATTTTACAAATACGTGTGCCGGGCTGTGAACGGCTCACATATTTGTAAAATCTAAGTGACTCGTACAACATGTAATTCAGATAAAACGGAAAAATCAATGATCTTATAGGGGGATCGACTGTACTTACAGAATTACTGGAATGTATACTTCTCACACAAGAACCTTAATTAAGAGTCCAGTAATAACACTTTAATGGAAAACTAACGTTTTCAACCATACCCCGGCTTCCTCAGGTTTTTCAAACCAGTAATATTCAAACTTGGAATGCAAAAACAATACTTACAAATTATTATTTTTTTAAATAGGTTTTTTTAATAAATGTAAATATTGTTCTTTGCATTCCAAGTTCAAATCTTACTAGTTTTAAAAACCTGAGGAAGCCAGGGTATGGTTGAAAACGTTAGTTTTCCATTAAAGTGTTATTACTGAACTCTTAAGGTCCTTGGAGTGTGATGTCAAAATGGCAGAATATCTAAAAAGCAAAGGAGGACCAATTTTGTTCTAATTGCAAAACAAAGCAAATATTTTCTTTCTTTTTTTGATATCATAAAATAATAAAATCAATTCTCTAATCTCTAGTAACATCAATAAATTATCATCAGCAATTTAATTGAAATAACTTTAATAATTTTTTCATGCTGTCTACTGTGATCTGTTTCTATCGGTCAGTAAGTTATTGTAATCCACTTTATACAAATTTTTTAAAAATATCAAACAGTAATGAAGAATTGTTTTAGTACTGCCAATCAATATATGGACTGTTTATTTTGAAAGTAATGTAAGTCTTTTTTGAAAAAATCGAGAAATCACATAATTTACATATAACTTAGTGTGAACTTTTTATTTATAAATAATTCACACTTAATATTTTAAAATAATTGTATGCTTTGATCAATTGAAAATTCATCAATAAATGACATTGCATAACCATTGATTAAGAAAGTGGTGTAAGTCCCTTTTCTGGAGTCTAATTAAGCACTTAGGGGCTGTCTATAAATTATGTCTGCATTTTTCTTGAAATTTTTACTCCCTACCTCTTGTCCCAGTTTGTCCAAGTTTCTGTAACCCCTTCTTCTCTTCAAATGATGTCCAACAAAACCCAACCTCTGTTATAACCTTTATCTCTTTTTATGAATGGTAGATACCATAAGTAGAAGTGAAACATACAAGAAATTTTGAAATAAATATAATAAAATGCATAAATTGTATAAAATTTAATGAAATAAATGCACATCCACAACTCCTTGTCTGACTTTGTCCTACTTGTCAAAACCCCTCCCTCTTTTCCAGTGTGGACATACAGTAATTTGTGGACAGCTCCTTATAAGAGTAAAACTATGAATTTTACCAACAAAAGTGCAATTTGATGGAATGGAAATAGATGGAATGAAAAAAATTCACATAACCAGCCTAAATGAAAAGCAGTGTCTAATGATGAACTTATCTAAAATAGTTTAACAATAAAATATTGTTGTTTATTCTTAACATTAAAAATATATACTTATTGTATATATCTTTAATGTTGAGAATAAACAACAATATTTATATTTCCTGTTATTATTTATAAACAAAATCAGAATAAGACACAATATATTTTAAGTGAAATCGAAATTTAATGACTTACACTACTTTCATAAATAATGAACTGTAAGTTCATTTATGACCCAGAAAGAATATATTAGTTTAGTTAAATCTGCTAAAGAGTACACAACCACTTATCACACTGGGATATAGTTAATCACGTATTCTGAACCAATTATGGTGAATAGATGACAAAAAAACAAAAAACCTGATGGACTCAGGAGTTAGAAAACATTTGTTTTTGTTTGTTTTCGTTATCTACACATTGTAATTGGTTCAGAATACGTAATTAGTTAAATTCACATAGAAGTCATTTATGTAATCAATTTACATATTTTTGAATTGACTAAAATGCAAACCTTTAAATATCTTGAAAGAGGAAAAAATGGACTTACACCACTTTCAAAATAAACAGTCCATATCTAAATTTGAACTAATTAACATTATTATGATATGAAGGTTTTCTGTAACTAATATCTTCACAGTAACAGTGTTTTATTTATTCACAGCTTGGCAAGACAACTTTGATAGAAACAATTTGTTAATTAAACTTAACCATTTGTCTTAAAATTGGTGAATACACTTTACATTAGTTGGATATGAGCATGATCACAATTCATACAATTATCATTACTAATTCATGCTTTCCTGAGCTGCATGCTTATGTAAATCCAAAATTTGTTTTTGTGAAATTTGTTAGAAAATTTCAATTAAATATCTACCATGGAGTGACTGTTGCTAAACTATTTATGGTATTATAACTATTTTTGATGTGTTGTAATTTGTTTACACACATTGAAAAGTGGAAGAAAACAACGGTGATTCTAGATTTATAATGCTATTACCAAAATATTTTGAACTGCTTTTGTAGATTAAAAAAAATGTAAATAGTAAATTTTTTTAAGTTTTAAATGAAGTATACTTTTCATATAAACAGTAAAATTTATAATTTACATTGTTCTTAATTTCAGTATTTTCTTGTTTGGAAAAGAAAATTTATAATAAAAATATCTGCTGGCAATTATATAGAAAATTTAAAGCAGAAATGACAAGCAAACAAATTACATTTTAATGATAGAAATGGTACATAAATAGTAGAAATAAATATATATATTTTTTTCTACTATTTATGTACCATTTACAAGAAATTTTGAAATAAATATAATATATGTTTTATTTCTATTTACGGTATCTATCATTCATAAAGTGATAAAGCTTTTAACAGGAGTTGAGTTTTGTTGGACATTCGAAGAGGGGGGAAAGTAAAAATTTTAAGAAAATTTAAATCAAATATAAGCAAACATATTTGGGGGGGAAAAAATACATTTTTTCTACCATTTATGTTTGTTTGCATTTGGGTTAAGTTTTAATTATAATATGTATTTATTTTTATATATAGAGAACATTAATAAAAAATAAGACTAAATAAATACTATAATTAGAAAAATTTCAAGATTTCATTTAAAATTTGTTACATTTGTAATGTTTATTAATTATGATATACATGTAATTGAATCTGTAATTGGATTTCAGTAATTGAATCTGTAATTTGGATTTCTCTAATAAAAATAATTATTAATATTTTTATACTTTTAACTTTATAATAATATCTTATTTTCTCACATTACAAATAAAAAAATTTTATTTCTCACAAATCATTTTACTTCTTTTTTAAAGTTATTTTATTTGAAGCTACAGTAGAGCATCGATTATCCGACTCAATTGGGGACTGGGGTTGGTCGGATAACTGAAAAAACGGATAACCGAAAAATATGGAAAAAATACATTATTAGTATAGTATATTAGTATATCCCATGTAATTAGTATATTAGTATATCGCTATTAACCTACTTCGCATTGAATTTTCATCGACGTTAAGCCTAAATTTTTAATAAAAAATTTTTAAAAATTTTTTAAAAGTATTTTTTAAAAATAATAATCATCGCTATTGTATCGTTAAAAATTAGAAAATTAAGCCTCGTTTAAATACTGGCTCCCTTTCAAGGTCGAGCCAGTATTGCCAGCTAAAACACGTAAAAATACAGTCGACCCCCGTATAAGATCATTGATTATTCCGTTTTATATGAATTCCATGTTGTACAAGTCACTTAAATTTTACAAATACGTGAGCCGTTCACAGCCCGGTACACGTATTTGTAAAATCTAAGTGACTCGTACAACATGGAATTCATATAAAACGGAATAATCAATGATCTTATACGGGGGTCGACTGTACTATTAAAGTAGCCAAGACATAGCCAAATATTGTAGCGCCACATCACTAGCAGACATTTGAATTTGCTGACTAGAATGCGGTCGGTTAACCGATGTGATGGTTGATCGGGGGTCGGATAATCGATGCTCTGCTGTATTTGTTTAAATCCAAAGGATACATTAACACTCCTAAACCTTAAAAGTCCAGTAGTAAACATTTAATAGCAAACAAACGTTTGCTATTAAATGTTTACTACTGGACTTTTAAGGTTTAAGAGTGTTAATTTATATGCTTTCCAGTATTCACTTAAGAAGATTTTTAAATTTAAGCCAAAGGATACAGTTCTGTTATATTTAACAAGTATTTATATCTTGTAATGTATCAATATTTTAATTTGTTTATGCTTATATATATATGCTTTACATGTATTTTAAGAGTATAAACAGAAAATTATTTTTTATTATAAATCATTGAGTCTAATCAAAATTATTATTTTCAGATTACTGAATTACAAGAACGATTACGTTATTTTCAATCCCAAAATGTACCTCCTAGTACATCTCCTCTTCCTCCAAATGCACCTGGTCAACCTATATCTTCTGTTTATGCTCCATCTCCATATGGGTACAATTCAGGATCTCAGGTACATTATCCTCAATCACAAATGCAGCAGTCTGCACAACATTTTGGCCAACAGGTTTCCCAAATTCAAGGGTCACAAAATAATGGACTTCATTCTCCATCTCAAAAAAATCATGTAGGGATGCAGGATATAAATGTGTGCCCACAGCAAATTTCTGTTGATCATGATCAGGTCTGTAATTCTTAAAAATTTCATTTTTAATAACTATGATATAACCTCGCCAACTTTATTTTCTATATAAAATTTGGAATATTTAATAAATAAGTGAGTTTCATTTTGTCCTTGTTTTATTAGACATTAATAGATTTTGCTTAATTATTATAATTGAGTTAGAACTCTCTTAATTTTGCTTATAAGTAAGGAAATATTTTCAGTTTAAAAGAATTGATAATTTCATTTCAATCAGTACTCTAGAATAGAAGAAAATCTGGAATGTGGGTTAAAATTAGTATATTTTTTGTAAGGAAAATAATTGTTTTAATTAAATCAGTTTATAGAAAAATTATGTCTGGATTTCAGTTATTTTTCATATACCATATTTAATGAAATTCATAAACTAAACCTAGGTAGTGAAGATAGGTATTTAAGTAGCTTATAATCCAAATTGCATAATACCTCTATTGAATTAGCCAGGCTATAGCCCAACAATGATCTGGTATTATCAATTAATTATTAATGAAATGATTTATCTTTGCCTTTTCCCATGTTTATATGGGTTTGGCATTTCCTTCTCTAATACATTTTTTCCATTTCTCCCTATCAAGGGCTTCTTCTCTCTTAAGTCCCCTCTGGTTCAAGCTTCTTCCACCTTACCATTTCAATGCATCTTTGGTCTTCCTCTTTTCCTCTTTCCTTTTACTACCAGTTTTCCGATCTTCTTTCCAACATAATTGTCACTTCTTTGCTCTACATGGCCAAACCACCTCAATCTATGTTCTTGCATCTTTTTGCTCAAGAAGCTCACCTTAACAGAACCTCTAATAAAATCATTCTTTATTCTATCCTTCCTTGACACTCCACACATCCATCTCAACATTCTCATCTCTGCCACCTCCATCTTTCTTTCTTGGGCTCTTGTTATTGCCCATGTCTTCACTCCATATAACATTGCAGGTCTAACAACTGATTTATACAATTTTCCTTTCAGATTGCAGCTAACTTTCTTGTCACATAACACACTGCTCAGCTTCCTCCAGTTTATCCATCCACATTGAATTCTATGCTGCACCTTCGAGTTCAATCCTCCTCCCATCTTGATAAATGTCCCAAGATATTTAAAACTTGGAACCAAAGGGAGCAGCACATTTTCGATTTTAATATTACACTCGTCTCTACCATTCAGTCATATAAGCTGTTTCAGTTCAGCTAATCTTCATGCCCCTTTTTTCCAAAACTTTCCTCCAATCTTCCAGTTTCTTCTCAGCCTTGGTTTGGGAAAATTCACACAGCACAATATCATCCACAAACAACATACTCCACAGAGCCTCACATTTTATGTCACACACCAACATGTCCATTATCAGGTCAAACAAATAAGGGCTATGGGCCGATCCCTGATGCAAACCAACATTAATGAAGAAGTCTGTAGTGCCCACACTACTCTTAACTTGGGTCTCTGCTCCCTTGTACATTTCCTTGATGAGCCTAACATACTTTTCTGGAACATTCTTTTCCCTCAAACATCTCCCATATCTCTTGATTTAAAGGTACAGGTAACCCCCGTATAACACGGCACTTCTATAGCACGGATTCACTCTAACATGGTTCGAGAATTGGTACAATCCCCCGTATAACACGGTACTTTTATAGCATGGATTCACTCTGACATGGTTCGAGAATTGGGTAAAACCCTCGTACAACAGGAAATGTAATATATTTTTACATACTTAAGTAATAATAGTTTACGAAAATTATTATTTTCATGAACTATTAGTACTTAAGTATGTAAATTTTCTCTTCTCGCCTTCTGTCGATACACGTGGTCCTTCTCAAAACTTGTTTCAGTGTTGCCAGATCGCGACGCTTCTGCTTCTGATGTTGCCGAATGTTTTTCCCTTATTCCATACTTGCTTTATTCTTCATAAGTGCTTAGCACCATATAAGGAAATTTATAAAGACCTTTTAACTAGAAGCAAGCAATCTAAAATTACATACATTTTGCAAAAGGTAAAGCATGGATCTGAAGATAATGCAGAAAAATGCTCAGAGGATAAGGATAACTTGCCAAAAAGAAAACGCTCTCGGTTAATTAATAGTGTTTTTAGTGATGACGAAGAAAACATTGTTTAATTTATATTAATATGTATCACTTAAAAAAATTTTAATGAAGATATTTATCTTAATTATGAAAATATACTAGCATGTTTTTTAATTTTTGGAACCTAACCCTCCTTTTCGTATTAGTTCTTTGTTTCGTATAACACGGATTCGCATAACACGGAAATTTTTTGGAACGTAACTACCGTGTTATACGGGGGTTACCTGTATTATATTATCTTCTAGCATTGAAATCAATAAAAGAAGGATAAAAGTTTTATTTTTTGAAGATACATGATGACAATTTATATTTGGCTTTATGAATATCCATTCAATACATCTTAAAAAATTTACTCTCCATTATTGATACATACTGTAAAATATAGAATACTTATATAACTTAACTTGGCTGAAAATATATTAAAAACAATATTTTTTTCAAATTAATTTTATATTAAACTATTCTAATTTGTAACATGAAATATTTTATGTTGTCATGTTTGAGAAATTAGTTTTATAAATAGGCTTACTTGACAGTTAATTGCATTACTATGGATTATATTTAGGTACAGTAGCATCTTGATTTAATGGACAAAAAATTTCTGTCCTAAAGGAAAAAACTTAGAAATTTTTTAAATTTAAATTTGCAAATAGAGCATACAAAAAGATGAGTCAATGAATATAAATTACTCGGTGTACATTATAATAATAATTTATTCATGCTTATACAATAATATTAGGAAAAAATGCTAAATTCAAGAACCAAAACAGATTTTTGTTCAGAAGTGTTTTGTTTTCCCTAGAACAAAAACATTCAAATAAAAATTTGTTTGTATACCTGAATTCAGCATTTTTTTTGTTAATAATTTTGACTGTGGTGCCAAGTATGAATGTTTCTTCTGTTATACAATATAATAGCATTTTAATACATCTTGTACATTGTAAGTTCATTATTAATACATGTTTTTAAATACATTTGATTTAATGAACTTTTGTCAATAGCAAATATCCATACCTTAATTAGTTCATTAAATCAAGGATCTGCTGTAATTATTAATATTTTTTACCTAAATAATAATAATGAATTATGTATATATAAATAACCTTTGACTTGAAGATTAAGTAATAGTATTATTAATTTGTTATATTCCATTTTTTATTAATTCATACTGGTGAGGTTATATTGTAAAAATAACAATATTGATTTTGTATTCAAAATTTAAACTATTTTGAAATAAACAAACTTTAAACTTTATCACTAATATATTTTACAAAATTTTATATTAACACTACATTGTTCAATTGAGTTGTTATATTTTTTTTCCCTGGGTTGTTATAAAAAGTTTTCAAAGCACACAATAATGAATCTGCATCTTGTATATTAATGCACTCCTGCTCTCTAACATCTCTAAAAATTTAGTTTCTTCTGTACTAAAACATTTTTTAATTAATGTGCTTACTCAAGTTTAGCTTCAATTCCTGGTTCCAAAACATGTATGGATAGCATTGTTGTTTGTTTCTCTCTCTCTCAGTATCATATTTGTGTTCTTTAATCTTGCTGTTAAGAGATCTGTTTGTGGCTCTCACATAACAGATTTGACAAGAATTTANTTATTAATTTGTTATATTCCATTTTTTATTAATTCATACTGGTGAGGTTATATTGTAAAAATAACAATATTGATTTTGTATTCAAAATTTAAACTTTACTCACAGAGAAAATTACACTCCTATATACAGAAATATATATACAACATTAATTTTTTAAAAATATTTTTAAATGAATATTGTCATAATTTATCAAATGTAAACATCCTTGCTTGGAAAGATGCATGGTATCCACTTAAACATCTATTCAGAGGCAAAAGATCCCTTTCCAGCATAGGTTAGGTCATGTTCTGGACTGTGATGGACACAAATACACTGGATTCTGCTGCCTTCTACAACCAGCACAACATACAGACGATGCCACACAGTGATATGAGTGGTGCATTATGATGGTAAATTTACAGTGTGATAAGTCACTATCCTTCAGTGCATTTTATGGATTGACAAGGCAATGTTTTTCTCATATGTATAGCTAACACAATGCACAATACTGGGTGGAGTGCTTGATGTATATGACATACATGACATCAAGCAGATTTTACCTTAAATGTCTGACATGGAATTTGGGGTCAGCAGCTTTTCAGTCCCATATTCATTGACAGTACCCTGAAAAGTGAATGTTATCCAAACATCCTAAACAAAACAGTGGATGAATGGCTTGATGATTTACATTGGTTTAGTATCAACAGGATGGTATGCTGCCTCATTTTTGGACAGATGTGCTTCATTGGATTGCAGGTCAATTGGCAATTGCTGGATAGGACAACATTGTTCCGTTCTGTGGCCACTACGTTCCCCAGACTTGACCCCTGTGGGTTTTTGTCCTGTGGAGTGACCTAAAAGCGTCTATGTATGATGTATACCCAGCAATGCTTTGTGATGATGGTGAAGTGGAGAGATGAATACAAGGAGCCTGTGAAATGGCAAGACCAAGAATGCTACTTGTCATCCATAATCCCATACTTAACCATTTACATCCTTGTTTTGCTGCTGAAGACAGTCATTTTAAATGTATTTGTTAAAAAAATAAACTTCACTATTCTGTATCAATTTCTGTAACATTGTCTTTACCCTTTACAACCATAGATTATTTGTATGTTTTGCTAAATTGTCTTAAATTAATTTCTCTTGGTATTTTAGCA